TTTGTTCCATGGCCAAAATCCCAGAAAGCAATGGCAACTCATTCAACTGAGAGTGTGTTACTGTACTAGCTATGGCAGGAGGCACAGAAGTCATTAAAATTTGGACATTGCCTTGAACAAACTGCTGCCTGGTGGAGGTGGCAGCTGCTTGGACAAACGTAGTGGCATGGCATGTGTAGTAGGTCCAAATAGAGGCATGTACAAGGAAGGTACTACAGATAATTATGCCAAGTAGTTCGTGGAGCTGGTGATTGAAAGATAAGCTGGAGTGGTCTCAGAGGCTGGGAATGGCGTTTCATGCAATGAGAACTACATGTGCAAAACAGCTGGGTAGCATCAGAGAGCATGGTCTATTGGGAAATCCTAAGGTTCTTTTGTAGCCATAACATGGGCAGTGATGAGGATGAAACGGGAACAGCGGGCTGGGGTTTCTGCTCTCTTCCTAAGTTCAGTCCCAAACCCTAGCTTCCCACCACTGCTGTAGAACACATGATGGCTGTGTTTGACAGTCTGGGACTAGTATCACTTTAGCCGTCTGTTTCAAACCCTGTATGCTCAATTTAATATGATTTTTCTATTTTGCACTTTTATGGATTTATTTAGCACAAATAAAGCTTGCAAACAGGCTGTCTATTCATTTTCTTCGCTGCACAGCCTGGCACTGGGATTGGTGACTCTGATGGCCAGCTGGGCTGCTCTTTCCACGATAGCGTTCTGGTCCTTGGAGGAAACGCTATGAGCATCTCTGCACAGTGAGATTTGTTGCACAGCAGCTTTGACATTGTGGACCAGGAACGCATGGAAGCCACTGGGCGGCATGTGTTTTGTTTTCTTGTTTCTCCTATAACCAGTGTTGATTATTAAGATGTGGCCCTTCAATCTTCTCTGCACTCTGTTGTCAGTGCCTCTTCTTGTTGTTGTTAGGTGCCATCGAGTCAGCACAGGCTCATAACAACCTTATGCACAGCAGAACGAGACAATGTCAGATCCTGGGCCAACCTCACTACTGTTGCCACGCTTGAGTCTATCGATGCTGCCACCTGGCCAATCCATCTCATTGGGGGTTTCCTTTTTCTCTCTGACCCTCCATCTTACCAAACATGATGTCCTTCTCCAGCGACTGTTCCCTCCTGACAATATGTCCAAAGTATGAGAGACAAAGTTT